TGCATCTGAGCGCGTTGATATTTACTATGCGATTTGAACCTAGTACCGTTCGCTTCAAATGTCATCACATTATCCACTTAACTACTGATTCCTGATCATCACTTGATTGTGCAACGGGGGGAGGGTGAAGTTGAAATTCATTTCACTGAAATACACGTCCTAGATTCCACTGCTAGCCACTAACCATCTTAGTTCATAATACTTGTGAATTAAGACAATATCAAGACAATCCTCACAGTATTCACATATAACAATAAGAGACTATTCAATTTCACTCCTGAACATCAATAGGAAGATTCAAGTAAACAATACGAACTAACTGAAATGTTTATTTTTAAGTAGATACAATAGATACAATATTTATTCTTTGGGAATTCAGTAGACAAGTTATAAAGTTCAATATAAAACTACAGTTTGCCAATAATTAAATTAGTAATTTAGTCAACAAATGCACACACACACACACAAAATTATTGTTATAAAACGCTGTTTAGATAATATCTCAATACAATATGTATTCACAGTTTTGACAGATAATTAATGAAAAGTAATTCCAAAAACCAAAAAAAAGGAAAAAAGAAAATCAAGGAAATCATAAGAGAGGTAAATGTTGTTGTTCATACTGTGCTGAATATTTTCGTTGTTACAACTTTGAATTAACACTTTCTCTCATTCCCACCTCCCTCCCCCTCTCTCTCTCTCTCTCACGCATTCTCTCAAATCATCTCTCGTTTTTTTCTCGCCTTTATTTACCATTCATTGCTAAACCAGACAATATTACTGTATTTTGGTTATCAATCTTTAGATCTTTATAAGTTTATATCTGATTGTTAGAATTGCTACTAGTACTACTGCTACTACTACCAATACTACTACTACTACTACTAGTGGTAGTAGTATTATTGTTAGTAGTAGTAGTAGTAGTAGTAGTAGTAGTAGTAGTAGTAGTAACAATCATAACCGTAGTAATAAAAAAATAGTATTATTAATTCGATGATAGAATCATGTTTTATTTCTATAATAACATTAAATTGTCAGAACATGTCTTATCAGTTTTATCAACAACAACAACAACTACAAAAAAAAGTGAAAACATCAGTACGAACAATCATACAGACAATGAATACTGACTATTTAATTGTTAGTTATATTTGGCATTTACAGAGCTACTAGTTTAGATTATTATCATGATTATTACCCTTTTTTGTATTGGTTGTTTAAATCTTCCCATTGATGTTTAGAACTATCATTGATCAGTCTGTTAATGGCATATATACATCCTATGTGAACTGCCTCAATATTGCCTTAATTCATAAGGATTATACATATAATACAAAAATGAATTAATCTTTAACACATTGTGTACGCTAATGGTTATCTGAACTCAGTAGCTAAGTAGATAAGGTGATGGTGTAGGGAGGGAATGTTAGTGGGTTTAAGCCAAGAAGTGAACATCAACTCTGAGATGCAGATATATCCAGCTGACAAGTTCCAAATAGGACGAAACACACATCCTAGATTCTATTGCTAGCCATCATCATCATCATCATCATCTCCTTTTATAATAATAATAATGAGTAGTATAATAAAATAAATGTACCTACATATTTGGTATTCAAGTGAGAAAAAGAAACTGTATAAATCATATCAAACATACACATCTATTATGAATGGTACAGTAGAAAGAAGAAAAGAGCTTAACATAGTATTGTTTATCTTCTAAATGGTAACTTTTGGAATCTTAGATTTAGATACATAGTCTGAAAGATTTCACCGGGTTCTGATTTAATCAACCTAACGAAATAACTATGTTTTCTTTTTTACTCATTACATTATGTAATGAAATGTAAACAACAGAAGCACAATAATAATAATAATAATAATAACGAAAACAAAACCCCAATGGAATGGGCAAAACTTATTTTCTGCTTATTTACACAGTTTTTTTTTAATATTAAGATTCATTCAATTACTTTAATGAAACAAGATGATCAGGTATGTTGTCTGTGTGTGTGTTTTCTTTTCTCAGATAGATTTTTTTTCTTCTGTATGTTGATACAGAGAATACTTCAGTTAGGGTAATATACAATTTGTTGATTCAATTTATTCCATTCATGTTCATGGGTATATAAATGAAAAGAGGTGAATAAATCAGTGATTGGTTAGAAGCTGTACGATTGAATTTAAGATGTTTGTTCAGAGAAGTGATTTTATTATTAAATTTAAATTGAACTGAGTCGGACAGTCAGTCAGCTATATCGTAGGACCAGGCACATATATGTATTGGTCCAAGTTGCCATACCTCATTAGCACAGCAAGATGAACACCGGATTCATAGCAGTGGTTAAGTCAATAGTGGTAATATATAAAAGAAAGATTGCAATAAAGATATAGTACACGAAGAAATAATTAGTTCATAGAAAGAAAGATATGAAGCAATTTTAATCTCATAGTTTAAGGGAAGAGAGAGAGTGTATACACCTACGCCATTGTGATCGATTCTGAGCCATGTCACCAAGAGTCTCCAATAATTAGTTACGATAGTCACGCGGATCCCAACCAAGTAGTCTGCATCTACCAACATGGCTCAGACTAGAGGTTAGTGACTTCAAGCACTGATGTCACGTTTTAGTTTAGTCACCCCTAACTTTCTTCCAACCATCCCCTACACTAGTCAGAATTTCGCGTCGTAGTAATTGGTGTTCATGCATACATAATACATGGTCCCACTATTTCGGTCAATGAATGTTGAAATATTTCCATAGTTAACTAATATCAGTTGTATCCATTCATGTATATCACTAAGAGAATATTATAAATTTAAATAAGGAACGTTATTTTAGGGGTTATAACATTGGGGTTTTTTAAATCAATTTATCACATTCTATCTGAATAGTTTGATGAGAATTGTGATCTATTTGTGTAATCCATTTCAAACAATCTGGTCACACATAAAAGGTCAAGTAGACAAATTAAAAGGTAAAAGGAAATAAGGATGATCATAATGATAAAGTACACAAAAACAATGTGAAAACCACGTTGAGCAGGTTAAGCGTAAGAAAAAATTGTTTTTGAATACATAAAGGAAGTTTCACTTTTCGTATAGTCAAGACTTTAATAAACCTTATTACACACCCTTCAAACGTTTTGTACAAAACTACATAGACTGACTTGATATCAACCTTATGAACTGTCTTAATCAAATATTTTAGAATGGAAGAAGTGTCTATCATGTGATGGTATTTGACCATTGGAATTCATTTATTTTTGTAGCCATTTAGGTATGTGGTCAGTCGCCTTTATATACAGATTCAACTTTCTCCTTCCTATGTACGTGCTTCGGAACATACATAGAAATTGATAGACACAATTGCTTACGTGCTGTTTGGAGTAGTTCTTTTCTATAATGACGAGTTGGGCTGCATAAAATGTCCTTTTGATGGTTAATTTAATTCTACATTTTAACATGAGACTATTTGAGTCATCTCTAAATGGTCATGTAATAAAGGCTCGCTTTTTGGGTGTCAGAAGCGTCATAGGTCTCATCATATTGTAACCTTTCCAATGATTTATAAACTTCAATGAATAACCGTTATTGATCAGTTTTTTTTTAGTTAAAAGCTTTGGGTCTCCCTCAATAGTATTGCGAGTACAAATAAGATTGGTCACATTGAATGAGCCCATTATTATTTCACGCTTGTATTGGATTGGATAGTGACTATGAAAAGTAAGATATTATCCTATCCATGTCGGTTAACTATACCTTCTACTAATCAGTTAGTCTAGAAGAGAAAGTTGGTTGTTCATTACTTCTTCTCATTTAAGAGAAATATACTTTTGACTTGTGTTGAATTCCACTAACACACAATTCACATATTCAAGTTTATCACATACCATTATTATGTTATCCATGTACCACTACTACAGACGCATCTTTTGAATTGAGTCTTCAACTAAATTATCCACATCAGCCAGTAATCGTTCTAAAGTATTACTCATAGTTACGTCATCGGTCTGTCGAAAATTAGTTTCAGATAAAGTTTAATACTTTTGTTAACCATTTTACGAAATGATGTGTAGGTGACCAACACCGATAGAATTGAACGTAATTTGGTAATGGGCTTTTGAGTAGTCCATATAAATTAGAGGAAACCTATAGATTTTATCACAGATTGAAATCATGAGTCAGTTGAAGCTAGACCACCATTGAAAACCTGGGAGCACTAGACGGCCGTTTCGTCCTAGTATGGGACTCCTCAATAGTGCGCATCCACAATCCCGCACCCCGCGCGATTCGAGCCCAGGACCTACTGGCTTCGCGCGCGACTCATGATTTCAATCTGTGAAAATTTCTAAAATCTCCACAAACCCCTTCTGACTATAGATTTTAATAAATTAACTTCGTATTTCTTAATAGCATTCATGCTAAGTGAGTTCATTGGATTCCAGTTAACAATGCTTTCTAATTTACGTAATTCATCAGAGTCAACATAAAGCGTAAGTTTACTTTCGTCACTAAGAATAGATTCCATTATGTATATAATTGTTCTAGTCGACATTTTATTTGACTCAACATGGATTGTGGAAAGTTGGTACATGATAAATTAGTTAGATTAGCATTAAATTTGAGTATAATAAACGACAAATGCTTAGAAATTTATATAAAGTGCTTGATAATATCATTGAAATAGATTTTACCGTGATTACGATTGGTAAAGGATTGATCGTTCTCAGTCTTATATGCTGTATTAACACAGTAGAACTTCAACCCATATACATTTCATATCATATGAGATCTTACAAACACATTCTTCCTCCTGAATATCTCATATCAACTCGACACTCAAATACTATGAAACTATTCGATCAAATTTAGACAAAAGTTCTTATATACAATATGAATAGTTTAAAGCTAGTAAACCTACCTATCATATTGTGAAATTTATTTTATACTTTGGTTAATATTACATTTTAAAAAAGGTAATTTATTTGGAACTCACTAATCATTTAGTAAAGATTTGTGTTTTTGATTTCGGTCTACCCCTTTTGTATTCAAGAACTGGTGGCATTACTCAACCATCCATAATGAAGTAGGGAGTGTGTGTGATATGGTCCTGTAACCCTATAGTAGAAAAAATGAGTGTAGATTTAGAAGTTTTGTATAATATCAACTTGTTTCAAAGTCAAATATACTATTTACGACCAACTTGAAATATTATTCACATTTTAATAAGAGAGCGAAACAGAAGACCACTATTGCAAACCTGAAAGCATTGGACGGCCGTTTCGCGTTATCGTGGGATTCCTCAGCAGTGCGCATCCCCGATCCCGCTCGAGGGATTCGAAACCAGGGCTTTCAGTCTCGCGTGCGAGCGCTTAACCTTTAGATATCCAACGGTGTTAATATCTAACTGCAACTAATCCGCGAAATTGAGCGACCATCTTCCAAAATCCGTTACGAGAAGAGACAGGTATCTACCTCAGTACAATGGAAGATGGTCGTGCAGTTTCATGGATTGATTGAGATTAAAAATAAACACCACTGGATGCCAGTCGGCTCAGTGGCCTAGAGATTAAGCGTTCACGTGCGAAGCTGAACGCCTTGTATTCGAATCCTGGCAAGCGCGATCGTCGATGCACATTGCTAAGGAATCCAATAATAGGACGAAATGGCCGGCTAGTATTTCCAAGTTTTCAATGATGGTCTAACATCAATCAGTTCATGATCTCAATAAAAAAAAACTTAATAATCTTTAGTTTTTGTTAGTGATTAGCTATCAAAATAAGTTTTGACTAAGGAAATTCTTCTGAATTGAATGATAAACAAATATTGTTTGGAAATCACAAAATACTCAAGCTGATTCTATATTTCAATAAGAGTTTGTCATACATACATACATACAGACACTCACATTTTTTTTTCAAAATCGGTTTTCTACCCAGTTAACTAGTTACAATGAAAAGAAACCCTGAAGTATGTTTATTTCCCATTTATTACAAGTATTAAATTCTTGAGGTCAAGTAGCTCAATAACTTAGTGACCGTAAAGACCTCTTATATCATAAATAATGATATATAAATTTTAATTAGTTTTATTAAATCATCATGAACTGTGTCAAGAGTGATAGTTCACCTGATATTGAATCAAGAGAGAATACAATTGGGCACTTCAAATTATTTCTTTTCTGGAAATTTTGTTTTGTTGATTATCAAAGAATATTTCGGTATTCTTTGTCGTTATGGAGAAAAAGTGTCATATATATATATATAAACAGATTAAAAATAAAATCTCATTTGAAGTATCATCCATTCGTCAACGACTAGGTAATTAACAAGTCGGCGTGAGAGACTGATGGGTCATGGGTTCAAAACTCGTGAGGCGGGATCGTGGATACGCATTGGTGAGGAGTCCTACAATAAGACGAAACAGCTATTCAATACTTTCAAGTCTTCCATGGTGGTCTAGCTTCAACTGACTCCTGATCCCAAATATTAAAATATTTTTTCTCGTAAAATTACATACATTTTACAGTAAATTATCATAAATAGAACTTAGTGGTATAAACCTCTTACTGAATTAGTTAGACTAAGTATTTGTTTACTCTAACAATAGTCTTCATTATAGAAAAAAAAGAAAGGCAGTCAGTGATAGATAGATATACTTTGGGCGGATGTTTCGTCCTCGTCCGAACTTCCTCAGTGGTAGAACTACCCATAACTCGACACACAGAATCAGAAGATTCCAGGTTCGTATCCTGGCAGGCTCGCCGCCCCCAAATGCCCTGGTACGGCCGAGAGTGGGGAGAGTCCGCTCTCCCTCTCGAAGTGCTCTCACATGATCACGCGTATATAGCCTCTGTCAGGGAAGTCCTACTCACTACCTTCTCGTAGCGGGGGTGTTATTTACGAAAATGAGAGGATGAAAAGCGAATGTCCGGCGCTTTAACCGGATTCCAAACCAATGGTGCACATGGGCTCCAGTATCCTGCGGGAACAAATGGCGTATGAACTAATTGTTGGTCACCGGCTTCCATGGGACCGCATCTCCTAACGATGCTCCACTGCCTTGTGAATCAGACCTTCAAGCCAAAGGCTAGGGGAGTGACCCTCTAAGGAAACCACCTGTTTCGGTTTTGGCACCCGGACAGTATCGCAGCCCTCACACATATCGAGTGAGATTTGTGTGGCGCATATGTATCTGGTGCCTCCTTGTACCAATATCTATATGGTAAAATAAATAAATAAATAAGTAAAATATGGAGTCGAACCCAGGACACGCTAGGTTAACGACACTTTATGCTATATATGCTGAATTTATTGATTTATATAATAAATATTTAGTTGCTTCTCAATATAATAAGATGATTATTCAACACAATCGGTAAATAACTATTTCAGTCGTAAACATATTGAATCCACAGGTTAATAGGATATATTTCTAACACAATTTAAACTAAGGATAAACAGTTAATCACTACTAACTGATTGTCACTATCTCTCTAACTGATATCAATTGGTGATTAACATAATTGATAAAATAAACTGCGACAGTCACTTCACTACGAAGTTACAGAATGATTTATAATGTAAGTTTAATATTTTTATTCGTAAATATCTTTCAGAGTTGAAAATGAAACTTGAAAAGAATTCTTTAACACAATATACATAATTGAAATGACTAGATAACTAACTCATTGATCATTAAGATATACTTTTACATTTGTTAAAGAATGAGTAATTCTGTCACAATGACAAATGAACATGTACATATTCATTATGACACTGTTTAAGGGACATTCATTAAAAAGGACAATGAAAGATATATATTCTAGCTTGTAAAATACGGGTTCTCATCTCATATTCACACAAATATACACATACTTACTTACTTTACTTACTTACTTACTTACTTACGCCTGTTACTCCTCGTGAAGTATATTCACATACATATACATAATAAAGTATAACAAATGACAATAGTATGATGATTAGAAGATTAATCAGGATAAAACAAAACTGTAAAAAAATCAATAAAACCTGGCAGTATTAAATGCAAGTATTGTCATGTTTATTACTCACTACTACTGTATATTGGTCTACATTTTACATGTTTGTAGGTGTATTTGTGTTTTTTACAAGCCTGGATGCTTGTATACAATCTCTATCTCTCTATCTCTCTCTTCTTTTATGTATGTATAATATGACCTAGTTGTCAAACTAAATTCACTTATATATTTATTTTCTATATTGTACCTCATTTATATCACCTAAATATCGACATTATTATTTTAATGATCATCAATGGTATTTCTTCTGTTGATAGTTCTCTCGATTTGTTTGTTTGTGTGTGTGTGTGTGCGTGTGTGCGCATATAGATACCTGTGAGTATATATTTTATTCATTTATTACAATAGATGTAGTTGAATTAGAAAGGAATATTACACAGAGATTATATTCTGTTGAAGACCTTCCCCCAAACTTAAAAGATTAATAATAATAATAATCATAGTTGGACATCAGTTTGACAATTATGTTCTTTTTCTTTTTTATTAAAATTAATTGAAGGATCTATTTTATCATTTAAAAAAAAACTTAATAAACTTTTAACAATATATCAATGATTAGAAACAGGTATGTAGCCGTAGGACTGTGTTTTGAATAGATCATATTAATTATAACTAAAACTAATAACCAAACATGAATGAGATGATGATGCTGATGATGATGATGATGATGATGCTGATGATGATGCCGATGACGATGCTGCTGCTGATGATGATGATGCTGATGATGATGCTGATGATGATGCCGATGATGATGCTGATGATGATACCGATGATGATGATGATGATGATGATGCTGATGATGATTTGGATGATGATGATGATGATGACGATGCTGATGATGATGATGATTTGGATGGTGATGATGCTTATTATTTGAATGATGATGATTTGGATGATGATGCTGCTGCTGTCGCTGATGATGCTGCTGCTGATGATGATTTGGATGATGATGATAATAATAATGATAATAATAACAATAATAATACTAATAAAGTCAGAGGAAAGAGAAGAAACCTAAATAAGTTGGTTAATATTGTCAATTGACCTAATTAATAATGTACATTTAGAAAAAAATATTTCTACATAAATGAGAATAATCGATAAAATTTCCAATCATTCATAAAAGATATAAATTTTGTCTGGAAAAAAATTCGATAAAAGATTCTTGTATTATCAAATCAGTTTAAATTATAAACTGAATTCAATTGAAGAGTATTGAACCATATTTGATCTTCATTTGGAATTTATATTAGGGATGCTTGATCAGCTACTAATGTTCAGTCAGTCAATCAGTCAGTAACAACGTAAAACTTCTTACGTACGTACATCAGTTCGAGTTGCCTTACCACATTAGCACATGCATACAATTGTCGATTCAAATACCGTAGTGCTAGATGTAGTGAAATTATAAGCTGTAATCAGAAAAATTAGGGTTTGAAGATGTTATTCAAGAAGTATAATCCAGTGAAATAAATTTGGAAAGAGAAAAAAGAAAGGGACATGAAGAATTCAAAAGATTAGAATTTAGGAGAACACAAAGAGTGGATGCACCTGCGCCATTGCAAACGATTTTGAGCCATGTCATTCAGGGTCTCTAATCATCTCGCGGTCCCCAACCAGGTAGTCTACACCTACCAACATTGCTCAGTCCACTTGTCAGTGACTTCATGGACTTGTGCCATTTTTTGGTTTGGTCGCCCCTAGCTTTCTTCCAACCTACTCCTATACCACTGAACATCGCACGTCGAGGCAGTCGGTGATTGGGCATACCTAACACGTGTTAGAGATAGAATTATGAATTATGAGGTTTAGCAATGATCATTTTACCTTTCAACTATTGATTTCTTAGTTCTTATTTTTATTTAATTTGTGATATGTTATCATTTAATACCATTGTAGATATCTCTATCACTTCCGATATGATTGGATTCCATTAATTATGAATTTTTAACAGACACTCGAAAATTCATATAGATTAGTTATCAATAGTTAGCATACGACTACTATTAAGATTGAAGGTTTAGATTAAAATATCCAGCTAAAAGATTGTTTTTATACAACGAAATGATCTTAACTAAATAACCGATGAATTCTGTGTTGTGATTCATTTCATCAAAAGTCTGCATGAATTCTTTATTAGC